GACAGTGTATATCACTGTTAGTGTTTTATTTCAACACTGAGTGTAGTTTTTTCAAGAATAAAAAAAATCTAATTTTAATAAAATCACCTATTAAGCTGCTTCTTCATTTTTTCAAATATGACGGACATAAATGAAATCAGAAAATCAAGGTTAAAAAATTATAAAGTAAATAATAAATGTACAGTGTGACCCGGATATAAGAGAGATTTTGTGTGGTCCCAAATTAGAGCCTGTGTTAATGTATAAAATAGACCAAACCCGGATATAAGAGACTTCTTCTCCGGTCCCGACAACTCTCTTATATTCGGGTTACACTGTAGTGTACAAATACTTGTTTTATTATTTGTTGCATTTAGTAAATAAAATACATATTGTAACAATGTAATTGTAACTATTCTGATACTGTTTTGGTAAATAAGTATACAATTAGTATGCAATTTATTATTTTCTACATCTAATCCAGAAGATAAAAACAAAAATTTATTCGCTCATTCAGAAAATTGGATTAAAAACGGGGATTTTTGTTTTATTTTTAGCCTAGAAAATGACATCGCTTAAATCTGGAAAATGCTTGTTTGCTTACAAATAGTTAAAAACTATAACATGAATAATTTATTCTTCGCGCTTATTTTCTGACTGTTTTTTTTTAATGTGTAAAAAAAATCTTCTTTTTAAACATACTGTTTTTAACACAAAATAAAACATGTGCGTGAACATGTTCTTCTTGGAAATTGATATCAATAACAATTTGTAATGTTTTCCACTGTTCCTTTGTTATTTATTTATTAATCGGGAGGTATAAGTACAGCAGCTACAGTAGCGATTTACTTCCAACCCTCAAAAAAGTTTACGTTCGTTGATTCTAAGACGAATAGCAGCCCCTTACTGCTTCTTACTTATCATATTGCGGATAGAAGCCGGTCAATTACCACCGCCACCACTTATTATTATTGGGAACAGATTTGGTTATTCTAAGGAATAGGAGGCGATTACATTCAAAATCTCTAAATGAAAATGGAGAAAATCATACAAAAGCATTAAAGGAAAATTAAGACTAAGAGGGAAGGTGGGGGGATTAATGAGTAAATTAAGAAATAACATTTCAATTTCATTAAGGGAAAAAGTATTGGTTTTCAAACAAATTAACACTGTTGTTCCCAATCTGACTTAATGCTAACGTTCGGTAAAAAGTAAAAATGTGTGTAGAATGAACTGTAAATGAATATTATACGATTTTATTATTATTATTATTAATAATAATAATTAAATGAGCCTACTTTTAAAATACAAGAATAGTATTTTATTTACAAAAACAAAATTACTTCATTGTAATTTAAATAAATTTAGTTTAGACTATCAAAATTAATTTTTTATTTTTACCAGAGATTACTTGAATGTAAGAAGCAATATTGCGGTACATATATTTCAAGTTTTTCAGCAGGAAAATTGCATTGTATGAGGAAAAAGCTAAAAATGTTATTTGATATAATTATTTACTGTTTTCATTTCTATGAGTTAACTAGCTGGATGCATGGAGATTCCAAGGGTGCTGACAACTGAAGCCCAGGACAAAATACCAAACACTTCAAAATTCAAATATTTTGATTTATGGACCAGTTATATAACAAATTTAGTAGAGAAGATAAGGAAATTGATTATAGAATAGAGGTAGTTTCGCCTAATTGTACCAAATGCTACAAAAACAAAACATTAACCTGAAAACAAGTTATGTTCTTAAATAACCTTGTCAGATCGAGACTTTCATATGGAAGTTGTGCATAGTGCCAAACCCATTCAAAAATATCTAAACTGTTAGCTGTATACAACCATTTTCTAAGATGAATAGTTAAAACTGGTTTTGAGTGAGTGATGCCTGTGAATCTTTGTGAAGACCATTCTTCTTTGAACATTGTAGACAGGTGCTAGAGTATCTCAAAGAACTGTACCAGATAACAGAAACCACATAACTTGAGGACTTTAAAAAAGCAGCTGCTGAAGTAGATATCACGTGCAATTAAAAGAGAAAACTATCACATAATCAAAATGTTGTCATTCCATACCATTTCAAACAAAAAGTTAAGGAAGTCCCTATCAATACTGGAAAGAGCAATAACACTTAAAAAAACGATTTTCCTGAAAAACTGTTTTAAGAGAAAGAATTTATGTCAACTGACAGCAGCACTGGCTGCTTGAAAAAAAGAAAAAATGCTAAATGCAGTCCGAATAATGTAAATAGTAAAAATGCCAAATGTTTCCTTATAAGGAAATGGCTAATATTACAATTATTTCATGCCTTTGTTCTTTCATTTTTCAATTTTTTGCTAGTTTTCTCAGCTTTTATTTTTCCTCCTCCCCTTCACTTTTCTGAATTCCTTCCAACTGAATATTATTCTATTTGTTTCTCTCTCGGAAAGTGTAACTGATTCCAGCTCAGAAAGTCCAGGAATCAGGCATATACTACACTCTGATCTTAGGTAGAAAAACCTAATGAACATACACATAAACAAATAGAATAAAAGTATAGATACCAATATCATTTATAATATTTCTAAATCTTTTTACTATATAATTTAGAAGTGCCTAATTTTCAATGTCTTGTATTTGTATTACATTAAATTCAAAGGACATTATAAATGAAGTCTCCATTAACATCACTTATCAACATTCACTGCAAGAGATTGTTTTATCATGTTTGTTAATATTGAAATAAGAGAATCAAGCATTAGTTTGTTTTCAATTCGAATATGAAGTGAAATATACATGGAGGTGCTGAAAAGTTATTGGTTTGATTCGCTCCCCAAAATCTGGCTAATTGTTTTTGGAAGGGCTTCTTGGTTTTTATTTTTTTATGATATTTGGCAGAATCAAAAAGCTATGTAAAACTCAGATCTTGCATAATTTTTACATAGGATTTGACAGAATTAAAAGGCTATCAGGTACTTTAGAAAACAAGTATATTGTGATTTATAAAATGACAAAATTGCTCTAAAAAAGAAAACAGATAATAAGTAAGTGTATATGACCTTAAAAAGCAAAATATCTAAAATATACAAACATGTTTCAAAACAGATTTTTAATTGAAAATCATGAAAGAAGATTCATTGTTTCTTCCAATGTTCCAAATATTTATTATATAAGTGACAACCGAATTAGATCAGAGGTAAAATATTCAACAAGAAACAAAGAAAAGAATCAGATAAAAGCTAACTGCAAACAGTAATTAGCATTACCAACCACAAAATTTCATTTAATAATTAAATACAATAACAGTATACTACAGTAATTACATTTTTGTAAAAAAAAAATCCTATACATTTGATCATGACAAAATTTAAGGAAATATGATATTTGTATCATTTATTCAGCTAGTACAAATATATATCAAATTTAATTAAATATGATGGAATTATTTGGAGGACTAACAAAAAAAAAAATGTTGCTTGTAAAAAGTATGAAAATGTATATCTATACAGAATAGATTCATAAGTAAAGTATTGGGCATGCAGTTCTAAAATTTCTGAAATTCAAATACCAAATGCAAGATGCTAATGAAAAATTGAAGAAACAGATTTCCAGTGTTTTGTGCTTGGAATTTCGACTTATACCAGAAATCCATTGGAAGTAGAAAAATAAAAAGGAGGCAAAAGTATAAGTTTAAAATTATTATTAGTAATCCATTATAAGACAAGATATTTAAGGAGACAACTGGGTCAACTTTTACAATGCCAGCTAGAGGAATATCTAAAAGAAAGTGTTCTCAATCAGAGACACCAGTGAGTTTTAATTATTTGCATAAAAATTGAGTAAAATAAATGATGGTTAAGAGGAGCAAAAGTTATACAAGTAGTTATTTAAAAGGGGATAATAGAACAAAATTAAAATATTAGCATTCATCCTTTCTATCTCGCAAAAGAGATGAAATATCTAACCAATGGATAGCATTTATAAGTCCTTTGGAGCCACCCACAAATTGACATATATTCATCTCCCCATAAGGAACTCTAGTTTGTTTTTGTGCAGGAATTCATTTTTCTTTAGGTAAGTGACAAAATGGCCAAATTATTCACTTGCATGCTTCAAATAACAATAATATAATTCATAGTTGGTTTATTAGTTTAACCTATAAATATATTAGTCAAAAATTGTTTAGAACTGTTTTGAATATTTAAATATTATGAAAAGGTGACCACTAATGTTTAGGATCACTTAACAAATAAATGATGACCAGTGATGTTTGGAAACGACTTACATTCTTTAGTACTTGAAATGGTTTCTTTATTTTCCAACATCATTTAATGAAAAATTCTGAACATATTTACATCTTCACATATTTATATGAGTATGTGTCATTCTATAATCCAACAGTTAAATAAAAGTTACTGTTGTTGATAATATTACAAATTTTAATATCTACTGTAAAAATTTTTTAACATATTAGTTAGTCTTACTTTTAGTATCAAAGATATTTTCAGATATTTTCAAAATGAATGATAATTTTAAGCCAAAAAAAATCATTTGAAATATTTAAATTTCTACAAAGAGAAATGTAGCTAACAACTATTATGACCATAAATTTTAATAATTTTCTTTTAGACAAAGTGAAAGATATAAGCAATAATTAATGTTACATGAAATAGTGTTTATAAAATAATTTTCTGAAATAATGTAATTTTAGTACATAAAAGATAATGTTAAAGTAATATTTCTATTGATCATCTAATTTTTTTACATAAATATTAAGAACAAATGCTTGAAATGAAAAATTATAATTTGACTTTATACAAATATTAAAAATGAAAGCATGATGAAAAAACAAGTTCATACATATTTAAAAAGTATTAAATTAGTAAATCAACTATGTACTGTATATAATTTTAATTTGAATAAATATTGAAATTTTCCAATAAAAAGAAATTATTTCATGTAACAACACATAAGTGTTAATGAAAGACAAACCATTCTAGGAAAAACATTATACCAAATATAAAGGAGGTGGCTTACAGCCACATCGTGTTTAGACTCCAGTTCCCATACGATCACCAAAGTTAAGCAACATCAAGCCTAGTCAGTACCTAGATAGGTGACCACTTGTAAATACCAGGTACTGTAAGATTGGATGTGCAGATGGTGTAATGGATAATAGCTCAGATTTGTTAACCGGAGAGTCATGTTCCAGCTAGGTTTGGTATATTCACTTACATACAAATACCCTGGGGAAAGGTATGAATCCACCTGTTCCCCCAGTTGTGGATTAATTAGTAAAACTTGTATTACTAAACCAATATTATCTTCAAAAATAAAATAAAATTGCATACAAAATATTTAGATTTCAGCATTAAATAACCCATAGAGGTGTTGATATGCTGCTAAACAAAAACAAAAAAGCAACAAAGAGGGGCAAGCATTTTGCAGAACTCTCTGAATTATATCCTTATGATTACTTTACATGTCACTAAATGCCAATCAATGAATGGATTTTATCTCACTTATCTTATTGGAAAAATATTTTAATATTAACTACAAAAATATTTTGATACCCACTAGAAAGATGATGATTCCTATTTTAAATATTTTTTAAAAATACTTCATTGTTTGAAGTAAATGAAGAATAATTTTATATGAAGGATAATGAAATAGGAATCATATATCATATATCCAAGCAAAAAATGAAAATAAACCTGGTAAAATAACAAGGTAGACTGGCTTTCTAGCTTTGGGTGGCTGCTAGTCTAAGAGAAAGACTTCAAAACCACAAGAAAAGCAAACAAGAAACCACTCCACTATCTTTCCTCATAGAAACTCATAAATAATAAAGAAAAGGAATCTGTGGCAAACCATTATCACCTACATACTGAAGGGACTTGGCATTTAAAAAAAAGGAAAAGTTAGGTTTGGGAGTCAAATCTAAGAAATATGTGCAAAACATAAATTATATAATTTTCTTAGATAACAGAGTAAAAATAAAAATAGAAAATTTAATTTCAACTTACTTTATAGCTTAATCCATTTCCTTCATTTGTATAATAAATGATCCAGTGTTTTTGTAATTGGTTATCCATGTCATTATGTCAGTTTTCAGGTTTCTGTTCTTGTTGGAAATGATCGAGTTGCTTTCCAGTTGGGTGTCTACTTTTGTGTAATGGTCACTGTAGTCTCTGATGAATTGTTTCCAAATAATGCAGGAGTAAATCTTTATGCAGATGAATTTTTTTTATTTTTAAATAATTCAAGATATATTACTTTGTGCTTAAGTAATCAAGAAAATTTCATCAAATGAATTAAAAAAAAAAATACCATTGAAATACTTTCTTCTTTTTCCATCTATGTTGTTATTATTTCTGGGTTATCATTTCATATATTTTAAAATAATGTAGCTTCACATTTTCTTCACAATTAATGGAATAAATATGAGCCAAAGCATTCAACTGACCAATTAAAATATCATTATAAAACAGGAAAAAGAGTATTTTGAAAACTTAATTTTCATCAAAATCATGACTTTCCTAACACAGATCAAATCATTTTCGTAATGAATATCGAAAAAAAAAAAAAGTAATATAATTAAAATATGTATATAAGATTTAGAGTGATATTGTGAGCCAATTTTAAAAAATAAAACACAGTTTAATGTGTGATGAAAAAGTACTTTTTAAATACATTTGGAAAATTATCAATTCAAATATCAACATAAAAATAAGCCTGTGTTTAGTGGAAAACTTTTGATGTCAAGAATTTAAACTTTTCTATTTTATAGCTGTGAAGAAAGCTGAATAAACAAAGCAGATGCAAATATTTAGAAATGAAGCTTTATCTGGAAAAATATCACAGAAATTAAAAAAAATAACAGTAATTAGCATTAACATTAGACAATAGTTCACAATGACATAACATTGTATAAAAAGTTCACAAACATTTGACATTATGTGGTCTATAATTGGCTTAAATAATATATTTTACAAGTGAATGAATATTTTACTTAAAATTTAAATAATACATGTGTTTGTTTTTAGGTTTTTGTTTTTATGTATATGAAATATTGTAACTTTTTTTCTTGTTATATTGAGTAAAAGAAGCCATGACATTTTTTTAGATTTTAATGTGTTAACGTAAATCTGATTTATCACTGTCCTTTTACAAAGTCTGGTTTTTAAAAAGTTGTTTGTAATTTAGAAACTCTTTGTAAATATTCCATAATTTTTGGCCACTGCATATGTTCTCTGCATCTTTGCATTTTTATATTAATTATCCAATGTATAATGGAAGAGGGTCCGCAAACTGAAAAATACACACATAAATGTAATGATTATACAAACAACCAAACAGAATATATTTGATAATGTGATTTTCAAAATAATGTAAAGAAACAAAGGATTTCTATTTGTTAATATAACATTTTTTATTGGTTTCCTGTATTTGAATAAATGCTCAGATTATTTTTAAAACAGTCTTTTATTGCATCTACTGGCCTGAACATTTGAAAAAATCTCATTAAAGAAAAACCATCTCTACTCAAATATGGGCATCCACTAAAAATAATGTTTAAAGTAATAAAAATAAAGTATTCAATATGGTCTAAAATTTTTGTAAAAAAATAAATATAAACTTCCAGAGAAATACAGAGCTTTGTTGAAACAATGAATAACAGTATGAAATTATGGTGCTAAAAAGTTCTTGGCTTTACCAAGAACTGATTCTCCCCACAAATTTTCAGATTTTAAGTGAGACAGGCTGAGACTTTTTCAGTACCCCTTCACAAATGTCTTGAGAATTTCAAAAATCAGTGCTGATTTAAACTATATATAATTTAATAACAAGTGATAAGATAGAATATATTTAAATAGAATATGGTAACATCCATTTTATTAACTATACTGAATATGAGAAAGAATTATGTAAAAAAAAAAAAAAAAAAAAAAAACTTTTTAAAAACAAATATCGAACAAATGAATATAAAGCAACTGAATAAAAAAAGAAAAATGAAATTAATCTCCAAAAATATGAATACATACCAACATTGATTTCAGGAGTGATTGTATAACAGAATGCGATATTGTAAATATCTGGCATTTGGTATTCACTATGGAGTTGGAATCTTGACAGGATCCAAGTATTGACCTGGAAATTGATATCTTTGGGAAGATATGAACTTTTACTTTGTCTCTTAGCCAGACACATCTTGGTTAGGATTTGAATTCTTTTTAGATACAGAGAACACACTAAGCTTCATGTCTTCCTGTAGTTCAGAAAAAAAAATACAATTTTTTAAATGCAATCTACTAATATTGATTATAATAAAAGTGTCATTTAATCAAATTAAGATAGAATAGAATGTTTCAAAATTAGTTGTCAATACATAAATTCTAAGAGGTTAAAGCAATAATAAAACAGTGAAAATTGAGTTATTTCAGAAATTTTCAATATTTCTAGAATCTATTTACAATGTATCAATTTAAAAGTTTTAAAAATTAATACAGATTTCTCTCTTTGACTATATCAGTGAATCACTTATACTGAAATTTATAACATTATAGTGGTAATCATTAACAATAATAAATTTTATAAATAATATCAAAAAACAGAAGGAAAAAAGACACAAAAATAAAAAGCAGCAAAAGTAAACTTCTAAAAACAGAATTATTATTAAAAGAGTAAAAACAATAACTGTGACCTCACCTTTGGTTTCAGCTGACATCAAAGTTGTGGTTAAATCAGAGGGATATCTACATGTTGAGTTCCAATGCAAATGATTTACAACATCCATAACAGTTTGTTTTGAGTGATGGTTCCAACAAGAAAAAGAAACCGGTAATTCTAACTAGTACATTGTTTATAAAGGCCGCCATGGTTAGAAAGAGAGTATTCCTTTGAATGAAGATATTCTCTGTTTGGCCTTTAAACAGATTTTCATTTGAAAACATACTAATATTTACACTAAATTAAACAAAATATATATGCAAATAAAAAGGACATCCATGCATTAAATAAACAATTCCTTACTCTCAAAATGCAGTGCACTGATGAAGCAGCTTATCTGCTTTCACATACTTTTAAGAAATTAAAGTCCCAAATTCTAGCACTGCCATACCAAGATATTAAGTAGTAATCACAATAAAATATATTGTGTAGGTGTTTTCAAAAAGAAATTCATGAACATCAGTCAAACAAATAAAGATGACATTTTAAATAATACAATGGATAGTTGATCTATACAATCAAGCCTCTGTTAAAAGATATTTTTTTTACATTTTCTTTTTACAACAAATGTTATCCACAACAAATATCTACGAAACTCAAAATCTTGAGATTTTAATACGTGGGAGTTGAGAATCATTTTTAGAATCCAAATTTTACGAACTATTTGTTTCAATTCATAATATGTGTTATTGGAATTTATTCCTAAAACAATGTCTGTTATAATAAACCTCCTATTATAGTACTATTACTTTCTTTATAAATACAATATGAAACAGAAATTTTATTGCTCTATTTTTGACCAATTCTCGAAAAGACTTCAAAATTTAAAATATTAATAAAATTCAACATAAATTTACAATACTCTTAGTTTAAAAAATACCCACTATTTCTTGGATAATAAATTTTTTTTTCCTTAATTTGTAGATATTAAGCTAATGCTCCACTATCTGATGTGTGTATATATATATATATATATATATATATATATATATATATATATATATATATATATATATATGTATGTTAATTTAGGTGACAGCCAGCTATTATATTTTTTGATTGGTTAATATTTATATTGAAAAGTAATTAAAAGAATGCAACATGAGAAAGTCTCATTGTTATGAGTCGTCAGTTTCATTTGGTACAGTAACCAATTATGAAGATGCATTTTCTCCTCAGTTTTTCAAAAATCATGGTTGAATACTTCTATTAGTTACTATTGTTGTATTGCTGAAAAAACTGATTGTCTGTCCCATTGGCCTCATCCGTGTATTCAACAACTGGTATTGATGAAAAATTACCACAGTAAGGTGTATATGCATCTAAAAAAACAAAACAAAAACAAATATTAACATTAAAAAAATCATTTAATGTTTTTATATTTTAATATAAATACTGAGATATAACAACAATTAATGTAATGTGAATAACTCTAAGTCAGTCAAGTAAATTTGCATCTGAAAATCTTTTTATTTTACATTCGTTTTTTAAAAGACAAACTTCTAAGAACATGCCCAAAATATATTAGCATAATTTCAGTTTCATACTATATTTGAGAACAAGTGAATGATTGAAATTTATCCAAAAGAAGGTTCTAATATTTAAATGAGAATGATTTACAGGATATATTTTGTTCTACACATTATTCATTCTCTATCCAAACAGGTATACTGTATCTGATAATAATCAAACTATGAAAGTTTCAAACAAAGCCCTCTGTTTTGCTTATTGGTGTCTGTTGCCACAGGTGATATCCTTCTTGAAATCATAAGTTTTTACTGTCAATATATCCTCCTTATAGCATGACACTGTTTCTATATATAGTAAAGAGATGGACCTCAATGTTTTCTGAATAGTAGCTCATTTTATTAAGACTGATTTGATTATTATGATTACAATAATGTTTATAATAATTAAATATTATTAGAGTAATCTGAATAATGAAACTGTTTCCAGTTGCACATTTCACATTTCCTGGAGTTATAAACTGGGTTAGGACGTAGTGGAGTACACCAATTTGGTGGAGGAATAGTGTAGCATGATAAGGAGGAGAGACTGATAGAAAGACAAAAAGATTTTTGATTACAAAATCCTTCAAATAATGCAAGGCATATAAAAAAAATCAAAGAATGAGAATAATATCATCTATTGGATGAAATAAAAGATTCTATTTAGAATTCTCTGAGGGTTACTGGGTGTATGTAACATACACCTAAAGAAAGCTGGAGGATATAATAGCTGAACTATTATTATAAAAAAAAAATGAGGATGTTAGTCCATTGAATGATTAAGTTAATCCATTCGGTAACACCATAATTTCATATCTTTATGAAATTATCTACTTAAATTTTACTAAGATAAATATATCTAGAAGCTATCGCAAAATATTTATTCTGTTAATTATACTGCATTTTTGTATACCTGTAATTATACAATGATCCATTTTTGTGCTCCAGTCATTTTAGATTCCCAATATGATTTAGCAGAAATTTGTGTGTTGGAAATTTACTGTCTGCTGTTTAATGATGTGATATCATTAAGATTATAATCCTACAAAAAGAAACAAAAAATTGTTGATATTAACATTTAAAAAATGTAGCCACAAAACCAATTAAATAAAATATATGCAAAATTCACTATCACCAAAAAGCTAAAAGGTGCAAATAAAATAATGTAAGAAAAAAATAAAATAATTTTTGTAAATTTCAAAACATAATTAATAGGGTTCATAGTAAGCAACTTTTATTGGCTAAACTTTCAAGAGCATAATGAAAGCAGGTGTTGTAAAAGAAAACTTACTGACAGCATTTTATTCAAAATCTGCAGGCAAATCAATAAAGACTCATTTAGAGAAGACTCAAGTGACATTTATAGAAACAAAATAAAACATTTTTATGAAATTCACTTTGTAAATTAATCTATTCAGATAAGCCATCACATTCAAAATAGATCTATACTAGATTTTTTGTTTGGGTAATTGGATATACTGCTGAATATTAAGATAAGCTTCTATATAAATTTTGAAAAATAATGATTAAATAATAATTAATGTAACAGTAGTAAATTTTACATCCACAATTACATACGTTGGCAATTAATAATTTTAAAAATGAAATAAAATTCTTATGCAGAAAATGGTAAAAATAAAAATAATAAAGCATGCATTTTATTTATAATTTCATAAGTAGTATATGGTTTAAGTCTTGGAAATAAACTATTTCCTACCTGATCTCTTGGTTGGGGCTCCATGTGATGTGTTCTTTCTAGTGTGAAGTATTGGATGAAGAAGGAGTGCTTATCAAATGTCTCTTACTATTCACATATTTGCCTTCTGCTACTGAAAAACTTTAAGGATCACAGCTGTGTCTGAAGCTGTAATGATCACAGCTATTGTCACTGCTACTGAAACAGTGATAATTGCTGAAATCAAGTGAATCATGTTATCTGTCTTAATATAAGTAAAATAGATCATTGCATAAATTCCAGTCCTCAAGTTAAGAAATGTCATATAAAATAGAAATTTTAAAAAATGTTTGATTCTTTTCAGTATTTTAGCTTTTGGATAATTTCAGCCTGATCAATCAATATTATGAGTAATGAAGATAAATATAATACAGTAAAATGTAAAATTAAAGATTTATAGTTAATTAATAAAAAAAAATCACAAAGATACTATTTCAATCAATTTTTGAAGTTTAACTACATATCATAAGCATATATTTCTAATAATATTAACTGTACAGTTTTATGTGAGTTGATAAGTAGGATTTATAGAATTCTTTTTGACATTTAAGGGTTAAATACTTCTATAAATGAGTAAGGATCATGTTACAGACATCAGTTTTAATGTGGTACAGGTGGTAGTGGTCGGGAATTGCACATTTGGTTAGCATTAGAAAAATTATTTTGATCAGAAGTATTAGCGTCAGAATCAGTGTCAACTTTTAAATTAGTCACTTCTTTATGGAGACTATTTTCATTCATATAAGGTGTACAAAAGCCTCTGGCTACTATTGTGGTATCACTGGGGTAGCTTGCAATCTGTTCCAAGGGTCCCATATCTGTGATATGTTGTTGGTCATGTTGGAATGGAGAAGAGTTACAATACTGGAAAGAGTAGACATCTGAAAAATATTTATAAAAAATGTAATATTCACACAGCAACTGACTTCACATTCAAAATAAAAGAAAAAAAAATATCAATATGGTAATTAATTTTGCTTAAATTTCTATCAAGGCATTTAAAATTTGAAGCTTTTTTTTCAAGTTAGATATGATTATGGGTAGTTAAGAAATTTTTTGCATGTTTCAATGCATCAAATTTTTAATTCTCTGCTAACAGTAAGATAAATTTAATGAATAACTTATAGAAGGTAGAGCAGTAAAACTTGCAGTAAAATTTAAACTAAAATTTCATAACAACCACTACACCAAATGATATGAAAACAAAGGCAGAACAAAGACTATACACATATTTTTCAAGAATAAATAAAATAGCTTCACAGAAGAACAAAAAGCAAAGACTGTCAAGACTTGATTCATGCTTCAATCTTAAAAGAAAAGCATTTTCCAATATAATTGGTGTGTCATTGATCACAGTCTATAATGTCAAAAAGACCATAGACATGGTCAACAGCAGTGATAAGTTTTTAAGAAGTGAAATTGAGACTTCTGTGATGCCCTTAAGACTAAAACAACAAAGGAACCAACGATTGAGTTAAAAGTTGACCCCAAACAGAACATGCATGATAACTTGGACATAAAAGTTTCACAATGTGTACACTGTTTTGAACTTCCAAAATGACCAGTATCTCATGGAGTTAAGTTGATGTCAAGGACACTTTCAGTACCAAACATCCATCCTAGATCATGGTCATGGGTGTTATAACCTCTGATGGGGAAAAAGATAACTCACTTTTCTACAAGTTTAGAGAAAAGGTTGGTACTGATAACTATTACAAAGTTCTGAATACCATGTTCTGTCATGGCTAAAAACCAGCTACCCAGAAGGAAACTCTGTAGACCCAGGAAGGTGCTCCCAGTCACACAGCAAAGAATGTGCAGAATTTCTGCAAAGCTAACTTTGCTGATATCTGGCCAGCAGACTTCTAGCCCATCTCCAGTCCAGACCTGAACCCATTAAGCTACACTGTATGGGGGCTTTTTGGAGCAGGCCATCAATACGATCTTTCACCCCAATATGAGTATCCACAAGGTTGCTATCAGGGAGGAGTGGACCAAGATGTCCAAAGACTTCATGGTTAAGAGTTGCACAACAACAGTAAGTTGTGTTCAGGTTATGGCTGAAAATAATTGAAGCTATATTGAATAAGTTAGTAATTTTAATATTATCTCTGAGTTTTATTCATAGCTGTTTTGTATTAATAGGCCTATTTATATATAAGACAATTTTAAAGATAGCAGTTATTTTACAAGTTTTACTTCCCTACTTTGTATGTAAACTAAAAGAATGAATAATCACAATGAACAATACAAGAATCTGATAATTTTAGAACAGATACAAATATTAAAATTACTCAGGTCCATTAAAAGTGTAAAATCAAAATTAAACCAGTTCAATACAAAGATGGTAACCATTCTTAACCTTTGATTACAGATATCTCGAGCTTAAATATTAATTTACTTTACTTTTCAATGAAAGCTGGGCCATTATGGCCACACGATGTTAACTATAATTCTAACAAAATTTAACAAAGAGATGATGGAAACATAAAAGTTAAGAAATAAAGATACTATATTATTCTTCAAATAGAACATTTGTAGAATTAATAAAAGAATATCATATATAATAGAAAACATAACTTTTTTTTCAAACTCACCTGATACAACTTCTGGTTTTACTGTATTATCTTCACTCCAATCTTTTCTTTCATTGTGAGTGGATTTTACAGAACATCTACTGGAATAGCCTTGAGTCCTGACTGTCCTCTTGCTTTTGTCCCTGCCAGATGGTAATGCTACGTCTTGAACATACATCTGTGAAAAGTAAGATACTAAATCCCAAACAGAAAAACAAATCCATCAATATAACTTCTTAAGACTTAGTTATTGTTCATATCAAGAATAGAAATTAATTAAGAAGAATAGAAGATTAATCAAAAACACCCTTTATAGTGATGAATGCTAACTTAGTTGCAATAAAACAATATCTTTAAAAATGTATGCACTTACCTGTGAAACAGAATCTGGAGCTGGCCGTGGCTTTGGTGCTGGAGATGATAACATTTGTTGAGCACTTGCATAAGGATGGGATTGTAATCGAGGTGTTGGTGGATGATTGCTTCTTCTCATATCGGTTGTAGGAACAGCAACATCAGACCAAGGATTGGCTGGGTAAGGAGGACTTATTAAATGTCTCTGACCAGTTACATATCCGCCTTCTGTCACTGGAACTCTTCGATGATTACAACAACGAAGGATACACACTGAGATTGAGGCTGTAATGATCACAGCTATTGTCACTGCTACTGATACAATGATAATTGCTGAAGTCAGGTGGATCTTATTATCAGTCTTTATGTTAACAGCATTTAACATTTCTGATGTCTTGTTGCTTATAGTCAGTGTCAAATATACAGTCGTTCTAGCTGATAGAACTGGGCTACCACTGTCCTTCACAAGAAATTCCAGTTCATAGGAACCAGCTTCTTTTTGGCTTAGGACATGAGTTGAAGATAACAAACCAGTGTACTGATTGATGTTGAATATTTGTTTGCTATTGCCTCTGATTATTTCATATTTGAGAAATGCATTCTCTTGTTTATCACTGTCTGATGCCTTGATTTGGGTGATGTTCTTTGTATGATGTGGATAATATATTACATCCATATTATAAGGATTAACACTGGGAAATGTAAAATATGGAGCATTATCATTTTCATCTCTCACCTTAACAATCACATTCACTGTGTTATTCAATGATGGAGTTCCTTTGTCTTTTACAAATACTTGAAATTTATAAGTATCTTGAAACTCATGATCTAAAGACATAATTGAAGAGATCAATCCATTTTCAGTGATTCTGAATGGTACAAACTGTTTATTGGTAGTCAGCAGAGAAAATGATAATTTCCCTCCAAGTCCCAAGTCTGGATCTGTGGCATTGATGGTGCCAACAGGAATTTTGGATCTCTGGTTTTCATCAATGAAGAATTTAAATGATTGCTTTGTAAACTGAGGATGTACATCATTAACATCTGTAACTTGAATTGAAAATTTGCTCTCACTTTTCAGAGGAGGAGCTCCTTTATCTTGACAGTTTATGGTTATACCATACAAATTTTCTGTTTCCCTATCTAATGTTTTCTTGACAACTACTTGGTATTTTTGAGTGCCCATGTTTTGGAGATTAAATTTATCATGCTTAAGTTCACATGTGACTTCCCCATTCTGTCCACTATCATGATCAGTTACCTTCACATAGGCAATAAAGCTACCAACTTTAACATCTTCTGAAATATCAACTCCATTTCCAGTTGAAGTGGACACAAAATTTATATCTATTGTGGGAGCAGTATTTTGTTCATTGATTACATTAACCATAATCATAGCAATAGAACTTAGTGGAGGACTGCCTCCATCTTTGGCTTCAGCATATAATTCATATGTAAAATGTTGTCTGATGTCAAAATTTTTACTGACATGTATCTCTCCGGTTTCTTCATTTAATTTAAAATATTCTTTTGCTATGTCAGATGTTTTTGCACTGAAGTGATATGAAATTTTACCATACTTGCCGATATCTAAATCTGTAGCTGATAAAACTCCAATAGGTAAAATAGCATCAGGTTTATTATTAATAGAAATATTATATACATTCTGAGAGAAAACTGGTATATTGTCATTCACATCTGTAACCATAATATGAATATCTAAAACATTTTGCTTGGGAGGAAAGCCTTCATCTTTGGCAATTACTTGAACCATGTAAGAATCCTTAATTTCTCGGTCAAGTTTCCTTTGTAGATTTATTGCCAGTTTGGAAGTTCCATCAAGGCTTTTAATGACAGATAAAGTGAAAGGTTGTTCTTTAGTTGTTTTAAGCCGATATGTAATTTGAGAATTCATGAGTCCAACATCTTTGTCTATAGCATTTGGAATTGATATTTTAGTTCCGATACTGTCATTTTCAGAAAACTGAATGTTCACATTTTTAGCAGGAAACTCAGGATGATGATCATTGATGTCCTTTATTATTATTTTAATTTCTAATAATTTAATAACTGTGGTTGCTTTTCTGATAGCAACATCAACCAACAGAAAACATTCTTTTTTAAAAATACAAAGTGATTCAGCGTCTAGATTTTGCGCTGTGTAAAGTTTTCCAGATTCTTTTGAGATACGAAACAATGAAGATACACCATTAGACCCTTTATGTAAAATGCTGAAATTAACTAAGTTGGGATCTTTAAATGCAGTATCTTTCATGATAAATGAGTCTACAGCAATATTTCCAAGATAAGTACCTGGATTTTTTCCTTCTTCCACAGAGTAAGTAAGATCCACACATAGACATCTGTATAGGATAGATAAATGTAGGAATAGTTGTAGAATCATTTCTTTGAGTAGAAATGAAGGTATCATATTCTTGTAATGATTAGATGTCAGTTGAAGTATATTCTCGCCTGAAATTTCAAATGGATTAGTTTTGTTATCATTTCAGAGTAAATGCATATATACATCAGATGATATTTATCTTCAAATCATTAATTTGGTTTCAGTAATGGAACAATTTACTTTTAATTTCAAAAAGTAATTTTTATTATGTGCTTAGAATAAAAATGGAGAAAATATAAAACCTAACATTATTAGTCATGGGCATAACTATAAGAATTTCTTTTAATAAAAACAATATTGCTTTATTAATGAAGTAGAGCTAAATAAAAATGCATTAAGTATATAAAGTTTACTAATATTAAACTGAACTAAAAAATTTGTTTTTTTTCTTTTTTGTAAATTCATATCAATAATAATAATGTCAAACATTGTATTGCATAATAGCACTTGGAAACTAAAAGATTAATACAATATAAATAAGGGTTTTACATAAAAAAAAGCTCCTGGTAATTAAAACAATCATATATTTTACAAAGAAATAAATGATGTACATTCCTTTAAAATGATATAGTTATAATACTACTATTACTCAGTCAAGAATGAATGAATTACTATAAAGAAACATATGACATAAATATTTAATATATTGACATTATTTATCAATTTTTTTTTTATACAAATTTATATTTGAAACAAATTTGTTTTTTATTCCTTCAGCTTCATCTTTAGACTTTTGCTCACATAAAAAGATTAAAAATACAAAGGATAAAAATTGTGAACATAAACTTACCTTGATTATTATATCAATAAACATGATATCCAGGGGTTAATTCTTATATTGTGATTATATTCCAAGCTGCTGAAATGTTCTTAGAGTATTTTTTTTATTTTACTTATAAACCAGCAGTCCTACCTAGTGTGTTGCCTGAGCAATGGCTGCTATACTATTTCTTTATATCAAGTCACAATGTGATGAATATTAATATAATTGTTTAAAATATTTTTTAAATAATTTTTTCTCATTGAATAAATAATTTATAAAATTAACTTATGTAGATATGAAGATAAACACAAATTTAAAAAAAAAATAAATAAATAAAACTCCCAAAATGCAATAGGCAGCAAAAGCTATTCTTCCATCATCCACTATTTTCTTCTGTCTTTTCTTGATAGTAACTAAGATGTTTCAGTATAAACTCTGTAAAATATCTATCCTCAAGCACTTAACTAGTTTTTAAATTCATTTTTCATTAAAAAAAAAATCAGTTACTTATAAAAATTGTCAAAATTAAAATTTTCAATTTTTAAAATTAATTTTAATCCAATAACCTTGAATTAAAGAAAAAGTTAATATTTTGTAGTTTTTAATTTCTATTATCTTATGGAAATTGTAGCAATTTTATTAAAAGAAATTAAATCATAAAAATCCAAACGAGTTTTCATTGTTATAATGAATCAAAATTATTTTACATATAAAATATTATAAAAATTAATATTTTAAACAAAAATTAAATTGAAGCACTTCAATATACCTGAGAAAATAATTTATTTTTACTGTTTGTTTTCATTTTTATTTGTTACTAATGAGTAATATTTCAATAAAATATTGATATTCAGACAATATTTACATTTGTATTAATGTAATATTTATTTGATAGGTTTTGTATAGAATATCGTAAGATTAATTTGAGTTGGGTACAGGAGGTAATGGTCTATTATTAGAAACAGGGCTACTGCTTGATTGTGAATGTCTACTAGAACTGTAATTGTCAGCACCTGCATACAGCTTTCGACTTTTGTGAAGTATGTTTTCATTGATGTAGGGTGTGTCAAAACCCCTGGCCACAATTGTTGTGTCACTAGGGTAGTTGACAGTCTCTCCCAAGGGCCTCATTTCTGTATTTTGCTGTTGATTACTTTGTGAAGGAGAGGGATTACAATATTGGGAGGGATACAGAACTGAAAAACAATGAAATATGAAATAAAATGTAGAGAGATGATACTTTTAGGAAATTTAAATAGAAAATTAGAATTTAAAAAGAAATCATAATTTAAAAAGTTTTAATACCTCAGTTTTAAAATAAACATAAAACTACATAGGTACATCAGTAGGTATTTAGCTTGATGAAAAAGCATTCATTTTACAGAGAAAATATTTATTTTTCAGATAATGTTCCTTGTCAATGCACTTAACCCAATGCTTCTTTATTAGTCACAGAGATTTAAGATTATAAATTAAAAATTTCTGATCAAAATTTAGTTAATAACTGTAACAGTTGATGTACTTATTGATTCATCCTCATGTTTACACTAGTTAGATTATGAATTACTTTCAATTTAGATACCTCAGTAAAAATGTAAATAATTCTCTTTTGATGACTCACCCATTTCATCATCATCTGCTTGTCTTGTGGTTTCTTCTTGCCACTGTCTATTGCCACTGTGAGAAGACTTCACAGAACTTTTATTGGAATAGTCTTGCATCCCATTTATTCCTTTCTTGGTTCTATCAATACCAGATGGTAATGATATATCTTGAATATACAACTGGTAGAAATAACATGTTGAAAGACTATTTTAATCACACAATATTTACAAAGTCATTTTTATTTGTAGTCATTAATAATAGGATATAGGACAGTTTAGTAGTTCTAGGTACAACAATTTTAAATATACAATAATATATCAGTTTAGTATTTCGAGGTACAACAATTTTAAATATACAAAAATATATCATCATCATCATATATTTTTCTAACAGAAATATTGATGATGTACATATATACTAAAATATAGTATACTTTATTTCATATATGCAATATTTCTGAACTCAGTCTAGCTAAGACATATATAAAGCATTCATTTAAACAAATTCATTTAAATAAAGTTTGATAGTAAAATATAATTGTAAAATGTTTATTTAAACTCTTAAAAGTAAGTGCAGAATTATTGGTGGTAGTCTCCACAAATAATAAAGCAACAACATTTATTTGAAGTTTCTTATTCTTTATATTTTGACAAATTTTTAATTCAGTTTTCACTTAAGCAAGTACAGCAGTCAGCACTAATGAGTTAAAGAAGGTTTAATATTTCTTGTTAGTATTTCTTAGGTTTTCCATTTCTCTTCTCGTACTTTCACCAACAAATCTTCATTTCACAATAAGGCAAATCTGTTGTCAGGCCACACCAAACTAAATAACAAATTTAAGTTTATAAATTTTTGTTAGAGAGGAAAGTAATAAAACACATTTTGGACTAAACTACTCTTTGTAATATAATATCATATATATTTAATTGGATATTTTCTTTTTATTACTATACAAATGATTTTTCATTTGATATTTTTTATTTAAGAAACATGAAACAAACTAATTATCAAAGTTAAAAACAGGCAACCAGAGTGTGACTTCATAAGAAGTTTAAATAAAGATTGTTAACTGTCAAGCATTTTAACTCAGGAATTTTACTTGTATACTTATTTTGGATCTAACTGACCAACTTCAAATAATTCATATTATATTTGAAGATCAAGATAACATCAAACACCACTTCATATCTCATTTGGATACCAATGTCATAAACATTGACAGTGTTATCCTTATATTTAATTTTTTTTATTAATTATGATAATGTATGAATTTTAACTTGACTTGTGCAACATTATTACTAATTGTAATATATTATTATGATTAAATCAGAAAATAACAGTAATAATAGTATTTAAACTTATTCATCTATTCATTTAAATAAAGGGCATTGTTTCACAAAAAAATTCTCTAAATATTTAGAGTTATACACATGAAATAAAAAATAATGAAGAATAGCAGATTTACTCCAAAAATCAAGAATAGCAGATTTATTCCAAAAGAAATTAATAAAAATTTTATTTCCCATTTGTTACATTTAAATTTATATGTAAGATATCTACTCTGGCAACATTTACTATATATTTACTGTATTCTAAGCTCCAGATTATGCACTCTCTTAAAAACTGTAATTAAGGACTGCTCAGCATAGATGCAGTATACACCCCATGTAGGCTCTGTGGGTATTGAAGAAAGATAAATGTGTCTGAGTGGGCATCTGCAGTAGAGTTTAGCAGAGATCAGCTTAATGTGCCACATAATGAAGCTCATCATCTGAATTCTGATGAATAGAGTGCATAACAGTGGAAATAAGACTTGAACATTAAAAACAATGTAACAAGGAATGCAAGATTTATGCCCAGAATGCCAACAGAAAGAGAAATACAAATACAGAAGCTATGTTTTATAGATTAGGCAAAAGCATTTGATAAGGTACAACACAATAAACTGTTTAAACTGCAAGGTGAGCTTGATTTATTAGAATAATCCAACACTTATACTAAGAGCAATCTAATTGCATACAAATAGTAAATGAATTCAGTAAATACAAAAAAATAAAAAGGGACATAAGATAAGGATGTGTCTTCTCATTGGACTTATTCAACCTCTACAGTGACATAATCATGAGAGAATTAGAAGTTTTACCAGAATTCATTATTGGTGACAATAATCTTAACAACATAAGATATGCAAATGACACAATTTTAATAACAGACATTAAAAGGGAATTATAGGAACTCTGACAGATGGTAGTAAAGGAAAATTAGAAGAAAGGACTAAACATCAATCATAAGAAGATAGAATATGTGGTTGTCAGCAAAAAAAACAGCTCAAGATGACGACTGTGAAATGGAGATATCAAAATCAAGCAAGTGTGAACATTTAAATATTTAGGAAGTGTTTTAACAGAGGATAGAAAATTCTGTACTGAAATCCAAAGACTCATTGGAATAGCAAACAATAACTTCATAAAGCTAAGCAAACTACTGAAATGAAAATTTCATTTGGAAGAAAAGAGTACTGAACTGTTATGCAATATTGGGCCTCTTATGTGACAGTGAATATTGAACAATCTCCTCATAGATAAAAGAGAGACTTAAGGCAAATTAAATGTGGTTCTACAGAAGAAGTGCATAAGCAATGAAGACATCTTAAGGAAAATAGAAACAAAAAGAATACTCAGGATGAGAAATTTCTTGAACACATATTGAGGAAAAAGAGCCTGGAGAATATGACACTTATAGGACATACTGAAGGCAAGCAGGAAATAATCTACCTAAAAAGCTTGTGTAGAACGGGGATTAGTAGGGATAGTAAGACAAACCTTGCTAAGAGCTACAAAAGACAGAAAGTGGAGAACCATATTCACCCATGTCTTGAAGGGACATGATACACAGAAGAATACTTTTTTTTATCTGAAGAGAGGTAAAAAAATTCAACTCAGACATAAAAAAAAGGTTTGTCAATTTACAGGAAATATGCTGTGAATGATTAAATGTGTTAAAAGTAGTTTGCAAAGTTTCATACAAGAGATTTTTTGCTGAAAACTGGATAAACAAGATGAAGTTGACAGCACTCACATCAAAATAAAAAATAATCAATATTATATAACAAGGGACATAGTCAACATATTCAAAATATCTAATTTAATCACTAAAAATAACTTGCATCATCTTGTCAATTAGTCACTTTCATGTGTGACTTCCACATAATTTAACATGCTAACTGACAGAGGTCAATTATGAAATCTGATTTTAGAAACCAACTTAGGCAATAAAAATATTTTATCAGTTGATTTATAGCTTCAAACTCAAAAAAGTATCAATGCAAATAAACTTGTTGTTGGCACCTGTGGATGAAAATGTATTAGAAAATGTCAAGCAAAAGATAATTCATAGTCAGTGTCATAATAAAAATTGCCAAACACAAGTTAACTTGTGGTTGACAATTAATATGTCAAACAAAAGCATAAATAAGCTTGTGTTCCTCTGACATTGCTCATATTACACTAAATACTTCTTTTTCAATCCACCATTCTTGAGTTCCCACATGGATCACCAATGTAAAAATCCTTCTCTTCTCACTGCTTCAGCCCTCTTTTATCATACCAACACCACGGCCAACTAACCAATTAACATTCTTTGCATTTGTTCTCAGTTACCCAGGAAAATGGCATCCTATAGTCCAACTAATCAGCATGCAACTTGCTATTGGTTGAATCACACTAAGCTGTACAAAAGCCACCATTACAGAATATAAACTTTTGGAATAATCTAACGTGAGGAAGGGAGATTCATGCCATTTTCAAGGAACAGTTAGGGTGTTTGAAATCCAGTGATGGACACATGCTGAATTGGTAAAGGGATGTAAAGTCAACATTTGCCATCAAAGAGCCAAATCTATCGTTGCGTCTAGCTCAGCCAAATTGATGTGCTTAGCATCTTCAGCCGGACGCAGCCAAGAAGCATCCTCAATGCCTCATGTATTCTGGCTATTATATCAGTTAGCATGCAATTAAGAGAGTCATCCTCAACTTAATCATCCCATCCTGTAGTTAGGGCACTTGCTTGTTGCTTCATAAACGCAGTTGACACTCACAGACAGCCACAAATGGGAAAGTGGACCACAAGTCTCACACATAAGGAGAGCATGCGTCGGCGAGTAATCTTCATAGGGATATCTGGGATTTCTCCACCTCACCTCCATCATAGAGTGCCGTTATTACTCCAAACCTGCAAGCCAACACCTTAGTTCTGTCTTCTAATGTTGCCAGCCCCTTGCATACTAGTCCATAACTGGACAAGTGCTCTCTCACATGTATGACAGGAATCAAGTTCTCATTGACATAAATGTCATCAATATATGACAATCTGGCATTCATAATGGTTTTGTCTTGAGATAGTACTGCATCAACTACAGCTTTCATTATGAGAGGTGCTACATTTAAACCGAAACCCAGTCAGGTGAGGCAGTATCTTCGGCCCTTCAATATTACAGTTTGATAGGGCCACAGTGCCTTGTCAACATGTATCTGCAGATATGCTCTTTGTAAGTCCAATAAAGATATGTTCGCCTCCAATCATTGCCATTCCCATAACTTTTGTGCACAAACCTCTGAGTTAGCAGTATACGGTTCCACAAAGCCATTTAACTCTCGGTAATCCAGTACTGGGCAGACCTTCTGCTTGCTCTCTTGTATAACTGCCATGAATGGGATCAGACACTTAAATGGGCCAAGTTTGTATTCAGGATATGGCCACAGCCATCCATTATCCAGCCATGACTGGAGCTCCATCTCATATTCACCCCATGCAGAGTATGGTATTATGTATTCTGGCACCCTATTCTTTAAGGCTTGTCCATTCGTTTTTATGACAACCAAACTCTGCACTAAAGTCGGGCTGATTGATGAAAATAGCAGCACACTGGGGCATGCTTCATTCAAAAAAGTGCACTTCTTCTGAGCAAGTTATGTGCACCCCTCTCAGTTCTCTGATTGTGTCAATCCAAAAAAGATCCATCCACAATTAGGGCATCAATGCACATGGGTTGAGCATGACTAATGTTCAGCGCAATACTGCTATGTCCACAGTATGTTAGGGCCTTACCGTCAGCTGTTAGGACCTCAATGATAGGCAGCATCGTGTTCTTTATTCGCTTAGGGAGAAGACTGGCACTGATGTTTGTTCTCCAGAGCTGCTTCCCTGGCACTCTGATAAGATGTGCTCAACCCTGTTACACCAAAGTAGCCTTGCCTGCAAGCCTTTGCCATGTAGTTGGGACCAAAACACTTAAAACAAACAATGCCACCTGTTTGTGCAGTAACGGCATTATGTGATAGTTGAGTGGATGTGGCAACCAACTCATCAGGCTCCTTGCTATCAATCATAACAGCCCAAGCCTGAGTTAAAATATGGTCCAAAGTCATGGTGTCCATTCTGGATGATGCTCGGAGAAGTTGCTTGACTTCTTATGGCAGTCCAGAAACAAATGCACACGTCATCCATTGCTCGGGCAATTGGCCCTCAATCAGCAAAGCTAACTGTTTTAACTCTGCTAGAAATTCCCCAGGGCGAAATCATCATGGCACAAATTGATCAAATGCAGTGTATGAATCCACTGCATATACGGTTATAAGGGCTTGTTGAATCTGCTCTACATCTGACCACTGCTCCTTAGTCAGTTGTCAATACATAGCGAGAGTCTTGGCTTGCAAGGAACAAAATGCTGCTGCTATGTGTTGTGTATTGAGGTAAGGAACTTATTTTCCTTTGTACCAGATGGAAGCCACTCTGACTAGTTTGCTTATACATAATTGCTCACCACAGTCAAACAAAAGTTTTCTAGACCATATTTAAATATTCTGTTTTTGAAACAAATTGTGATGAGTGATGAAAAGTGAATACTTGACAACAACATGGAATGCAAGAGACTATGGTCAAGCAAAATGAACTAGCACTACTAACTGTATCAAAGGTAATGCCTGTGCATATAGTTAATTGATACAAGAGGGTAAAGCATCTATCATGAGATGAAAACTACTTTTCATTTCAGTTAGCAATTGATAAAAAGTTTCCAAAATCTATTAAGAAAAAAGGTGGAATATGCCATCAAGACAATTCATTGCGTGATTCGTGATTAGGTATAAATTCTTATAACTTTAAGAATTTTCACTTATTTGTTCTATCAAATAGATATTACATTTTTAAGTTAGCATTTACTCTGGTTTTTACAGATTTCCTTTAAAAGAACTAAAAAAATGAATTCCTTGAATATTACAATGGCAACTATAGCAAATTATTGCTCAGAAAAATTAAATATTCTATGACAAAAATATGAAATGGCTTAAAACATGGTAGAATATAGTAAAAAGATGATAAATATGTTGTTCAATGAAATTTAAAATACCGTTCAACTAAACAAAGAGTTCATTTTCTCAATCTCTTATATATGAAAAGCTGCCGGTTCTTTTCTGAAAAATCTTTTGATGTTTTGTCACTAAAATACTGACCTTGGGAAGTATGACAGGCAAGAAAAGTTTGTAGAGCCTGCCTCATACACAGTAATGACATAAATAAAATGAAAATTATAAGGCAATACAACAACTTACCTGTGAAATAGAGTCTGGGGCTGGTTGTCTCTTTGGTGTTGGAGATGATAGCATTTGTTGAGTACTTGCATAAGGATGAGATTGTAGTCGGGGTGTTGGTGGCTGATTACTAATTCTCATATCTGAATTTGTTGTGGGAACAGCAATATCAGACCAAGGATTGGCTGGGTAAGGAGGACTTATCAAATGTCTCTGACCAGTTACATATCCGGACTCGGTCACTGGTACTCTTCGAGGATTACAACAACGAAGGATACACACTGAGATTGAAGCTGTAATGATCACAGCTATTGTCACTGCTACTGATACAATGATAATTGCTGAAGTCAGGTGGATCTTATTATCAGTCTTTATGTTAACAGCATTTAACATTTCTGATGTCTTGTTGCTTATGGTCAGGGTCAAATATACAATTGTTCTGGCTGATAGAACTGGGCTACCACTGTCCTTCACTAGAAATTCCAGTTCATAGGAACCAGCATCTTTTTGGCTTAGGACATGAGTTGAAGATAACAAACCAGTGTACTGATTGATGTTGAATATTTGTTTGCTATTGCCTCTGATTATTTCATATTTGAGAAATGCATTCTCTTGTTTATCACTGTCTGATGCCTTGATTTGGGTGATGTTCTTCGTATGATGTGGATAATATATTACATCCATATTATAAGGATTAACACTGGGAAATGTAAAATATGGAGCATTATCATTTTCATCTCTCACCTTAACAATCACATTCACTGTGTTATTCAATGATGGAGTTCCTTTATCTTTTACAAATACTTGAAATTTATAAGTATCTTGAAACTCATGATCTAAAGACATAATTGAAGAGATCAATCCATTTTCAGTGATTCTGAATGGTACAAACTGTTTATTGGTGGTCAATAGAGAAAAAGACAATTTACCTCCAAGTCCTAAGTCTGGGTCTGTGGCATTGATTGTTCCAACTGGAAATTTGGATCTTTGGTTTTCATCAATGAAGAATTTAAATGATTGCTTTGCAAATTGGGGTTGGACATCATTAACATCTGTCACTTGAACTGAGAACTTGCTTTTACTTTGGAGAGGAGGAGATCCTTTATCTTGACACATGATGATAATATCATGGTGATCTTCTCTTTCTCGATCTAAAGTACTTTTTACAATTACTTGATATTTTTGCTTATCCATATTACGAAGTTGAAATTTATCATGCTGCACTTCACATTTTACTTCACCATTTTGTCCTTCATCTTGGTCACTGACTTTCACATAAGCAATGAAGCTTCCCACTTTAATGTCCTCAGAAATTTCAACTGTATTGTTCAAAGATGTTGAGACAAAGTTCACTTTTATTTTTGGTGGATTATTTTCTTGATTGATCACACTGATGTGGACTATGGCAATAGAACTTAGAGATGGGCTACCTCCATCTTTTGCTTGAACATACAACTCATATGTTGAGTGTTGTGCTAAAACTGGCTTCTTATTCAAAAAATTTCACCACTATCTTCATTTAGTTGGAATATTTCTTTTTACAAAGTCCAAAGTTTTGGTGCTATAATGATACAAGATTTTGCTATTTTTACCAGAATCTAAATCTGTAGCAGAAATAATGATAACTGGTTTTGTTTTGTCATGTTTGTTTTGGATAGAAACATTGTAGATATTCTGAGAGAAGATTGGTGGATTATCATTGACATCAATAACAGAAATATGAACATCTAAAAGGCTTTGTTTTGGTGGAGAGCCGCTATCTTTAGCAACTACTTGAATGTTGTAAGAGTTTTTAATTTCCCTATCAAGTCCTTCATTTAGTGTTAATTGAAGCTTAGATGTTTCATCAAGATTTTTTGAAACAGATAGAGTAAATGGTTCCTTCTTATATGTTTTTAATTCATAATTAATTTGTGAATTTTCCATGCCAACATCTCGATCTACAGCATTAGGTATTAAAATTTTTGTTCCTTTTTTTAAATCCTCAGAAAGGTCAATTTTAATGTGCTTCTCTGGAAACTCTGGATGATGATCATTGATATCTTGTATGATGACTTTGACTTCTAATAATTTAATAACTGTGGTTGCCTTCTGAATAGCGACATCAATCATTTTAAAACATTCTTTCTTAAAAATACAAAGTGACTCAGCATCTAAAGTCTGTGAAGTGTACAACTTTCCTGATTTCTTGGAGATATGGAATAAGGGAGAATTGCCAGTCTCAGCTTGTAATAGAAGATTGAAGTGAATGGACTTTTTATTTTCAGGTGAGATGTCTTTCATTACATGAGAATCAGCAGCAATATTTCCAATATAAGTACCAGGGCTTTTTCCTTCTTCTATATTATAAGTAAGGTCTGCACAAAATGAAATGTGCAAAACAGAAAACAGAGTAAATGCTATTTTTGACATTGTCATGTAGTTTCTGTCGTTATAAAATAATTCCTGAAAATAAAATTAAAACAATAATCAATAAATTAATCATGAGGGATCTCTAAACAATCACCATTAAACTCAAATTTCTTACACAAATTAAGTAATATTTTAAAAATGTCTTCTTTTTATGCAATTCTATTTTAATATATTTAATATAGTTTTTCATATTTCTTATTAAAAATTCGATATATAAGATTTATAGTTAATTTTGTTGGATTAAAAAGAAAATATGTTGGGTAATGATATATAATTAACTCATAAATAATTAAAATGATAATGCATCATAATTTCTTCAATGCATATTCATCTTTGGAGTATATAATTTTATGATCAAAATAAATGCACAATCAGCACATATTCACTTGTTAATCAATTCAATGAAATTGTAGAAAGGAATGTGAAGATCTTTGGTGCATTCAAATTTTAAAGCAGAAGATTGCAATAACAGGATGTCAGAAATATTTTATCATTTACAAGATTCTTAAAATATTACAACAACCAATTCATATGACAAAGTGCATTCTAATAACCTATTTTTTTTTTAAATATAAAAAATATATGCAAGGAAGTTTTGTTGAGCTGGTAGCTATGTATTTATAAAAATAATGGCCAACAGTGATAGAACTACACTTGCGTCATGTTTAATCATGAATTCAAAATATTAATTTACAAAAGTTGCATGCACATAAAATAATTTTTAATATATTTCAATAAAGGAAATTTTAATTACCCTTATATATTCAATACAAATACAAAATAAGACAGGAAGAGAAGAATAATGTATTGTTTATAAGTATGAAGTCAAAATTAAAATAAATTTCTAATTTGATCCTACCTATGAAAATAATAATACAATTCTGATTTAGAAATCTCATTCCTTTTTAACAATCAGTAATAATTACTAAACAAATCATTAAAATATAAAGACAATTCATGAAATCTATAAAGACAGTGTATACTATTAAATAGATGACATTAAAAGAGAGCATGCTTAAAAATAACAATTTCAAAAATTGTACATCTTTTGTACCACAATCAATATGTTGTTCTACTTCCATTTTTATGCTACTTCTAGTATCCTCACTATCAATAAAAGAAATAGAGAACAAAAGCAGATGAAAATCAACTTACCTTTGTCATTAAATTTGCTCATATCAAATTCCAGCTACATCAGTTGGAAGACTTTTGTGATATTCCCACATTGTAATGCTTAGATTACTATTTCATGTCAGATAAAAACCAGCAGTCCTATCTAATGCATTGTTTGCACAATGGCTGCTACGGGCCACTCTAGCTCTGTCTAACAAATACTTCTTACTGAAGAGAAAACAATGATTTAATTCTCACCAATATAATGAAATATTTTCTTTTTAAAGATAATTATATAAAATCATACCTAAAAAATAAATGTTGAAATTTGTCAAAAAAAAAAAAAAGAAAGGAAAAAACAAACTCCCAAAATGGAATATATAAATCAAATTACACTTTCATTACAGTTGACGTCTTTCTTTCTTTCCTTTTTATTTTAGGCTAGCACTGCTTGATGAAATAACAGATTATGATTCTCAATAACTTTTACTTTCACCTTTTTTAAAAATTTACAAGTTAGATAATATTAATTTTTGTTAAAAATCTCAATACTTTTATTTAACTTAAGTGAAATGGTTTTATCTCATTGTAATATTTAAATAATTTTTTGTTATTTTTGTTCTCAATTTTGGTAATTGCCACTTTTAATTACATCTTCTCAGGAAGATATATTTTACAAAACATTAAAATAAAACTTATCTGTAAATAATATAAAATAAATTTGAATAAAGTTTTAATTAATGAATTACAAAAGTGATTACATAAACTAAAAGAGCTGAATTATTTGTGTAATAAAAAGGCTAAAATGATCATATATTTAATGTAGTCAAATTTATAAGTCTTAATAGTTTAAAGGAATTATTATTAAATTACACCAAAGTATTATCATAATAATGGTTATTCATTCAATTTAATAAAATAAATCAGTTACTTAATTTAAAAATAAATTTCTTCAGCAGTTTTCATAATCTGAACAATAAAAATTACAATGAATACTGTGTGTATGTGTGTGTGTGTGTGTACATATTTCAAAAGGATTAATGGATTTATTTTTAATCCAGCAATTTTATTACTTCAAATTATATTATAGTGGATGGAGTATCTATTTCAAATTCAAAGTATCCACTATAATAATGTTTGGTTATATATATATATATATATATATATATATATATATATATATATATATATATATGTATATAGTGAATAACTAAATAAAAAGTTCAATGACTTATCACCTGACTCACAGCAATATATCTTCATATCACTGGTTAGTTAAATATAATTAGATATAATGAGTGTATTAGACTATATATATATATATATATATATATATATATATATATATAGATATAGACACACACACACACACACACACACACCAATGTTTTGGATTTTGTTTAGAAAGAATGTTGTAATCATTGTTTACATTTTCAAACATAAAACTAATTTAATGTAAAATATATTTAAATAAAATCAAATATATTTAAGCCACTTGCTTTTGCAAAACAATTATGAACTTCTAAATGCCCATTATTCATTCAGGAAAGAACTAGTGAGGCACAGGTGGTAGTGGTCTATTGATAGAAGTCTGACTACCACTTATAGATATATTTCTTGATTGTAAGTGTTTGTTAGAAGAGCTACTACTATTGGTTTCTGTGTGGGTGCTGTTTTCATTCATGTAAGGTGTATAAAATCCCCTGGCCACAATTGTTGTATCACTTGGGTAGCTAACAGTCTGTCCCAAAGGTCGCATATCTATTGTCTGTTGTTCAATATGCGAAGGAGGGGGATTGCAATATTGTGAAGGGTATACATCTGAAATATAAAAAAAAAAAAAAAAAAAACAAGTAAGCTCATAATCTATGGTCAAGCTCAAGTGAAACAAAACCACTAAAAGAGGAAATTAAAAGTTTGCATTTTTCAAGCAATGGAGTAATAAATGTCTTGCTAATGTTAGCCATATTATCAAAATATGTAATTCTAAATTAAAGTGAATACAAAATAATAATTACCAAATTTGTAAAAAAAATTAGCAAAAATAATTGTAAAAGAAATTAAATAAAATTGAATATTTCCTTTTCCAAATTGCCTCAACTCAAATGAATATAAAAAATAAACCAAAGTAAAGACATTCAATATATTTAAAAAAAGAAATGCAATGAAAAAAAGTTCATCAAATTTTTACCAAGAAATCAGTTGGAAAAATATTTTACATATTTTATCATCTATTACCAATATGACTTGAGTTCATATAATCAATTAGATTTCTCTTCATTGGAGTTAAATTAATTTTGCTATATTGGTTCATAAGTTAAGACAGTTTTTGTGTAAAGATTGCATAAGTTATTATTAGAAGGTGGACAAAAGATCACTATTGTTTATCTCTAATTGCAATAGTTTCATAAAATCTCACCATTGCTTGTTTAAGCTAATTACATTCTTTATAAAGTAAAACTTCTAAAACACTTGACAGAATCATGTCTGTTATGGATATCAACAAAAAAATTAATGTGTTCATTTTTCTATATTCCTATATTGTTCTTTCTAATGTGAAGTATTTATACAAATATACAAACAATTTTATGATAAATAAATCATATAACTGTTTATAAAACATTATTTAGATACCATAAAAAACTTTTATGCAAAAAGGTATAGTCCCTTCATTAAATGCAGTAGTATTAATATAAAATATGAAAAATAACCCCCAATTATATAAGAATCTATCATAAAGAAATTAAAGAAGGCTTTTGATGAAAACACTTTTTACACAAAGATAATAAAAATAATTTAAAATAGTTTAAATAAATAAATATTAAAACTTAAAATTATAAAGTCATAACTTTCAAAGTGAAAAATATAAAGTAGTTGAATATTTTTTTACATTAGTTTATCTATTTTACATATTTTCTGTTTTTGAGTTCAACACAGAATGCATTTATTTTTATTTGGAATTCAAAATTATAATTCCTAATAATTATATATTAAAATTAAATTTTAAAAGTTTTGAGTTTATCATGGATATAACATTTTAAATAACATTTGCTTACTAACATTAGAAAATTAATTATTTTTATGTTCTTTGATAGAAGATAAAAACAATGAGTAAATTCAATATCAATAATCAAATTATTATTTCACGTTAACATGTGAAAACTCCAAGTATCAAAGTTCAGTTTAATGACAGATATGTTTAATTGAAAGAAAAACATTTTTACATAAAAACGTTTTACTATTAAATAAAAAATAAGTGTTACATAATAAAAAGAAAATTTCAATCCATTTTTCTCTTCAGATGAAAATATGTTTCTAGTTTGAAAATAAAATTAAAAGAAATAAAACAAAAATAGCTCAATACAATAGCAATTTCTGATGAGAAGATTTTAGGCTCACCTGCCACAGCTTCTGTTTGGCTTGTGTCGGCATCATTCCTACCTGGTCTATCATTATAATGAGAAGACTTCATTGAACTATTACTGGAATAATCCGGTGCCATATCAGTCCTTTTCTTATTTCTGTTTCTGCTAGAAGGCAAAGCTACATCCTGAACATACATCTGATAGGAATGAATATAAAGGTAAAATGAATCAATAAATCAAGTGAAATATGCACATCAAATATAAATATAAAAAAAACAGATATTAATCTATTTTAAATCTATTCAAAACTCATGAGAGAACAAAATATCCCATTTAAAAAATTTAAAAAATAAATGCTAATAATTAATATCTCGTTTGCATAACTATACATTTAGAAAATGGCAATTTTCAAAATTATTTGATACAATAGTTTGTATGAATTATTCTAACAGTTCAAAATCATAAAAATGAGATTTTTATTATCTCAGATTAAAACAAAATTTCTATTCATTATAATTCCTTATATTAAATGAAATTAGTTTAAAAGCATAATGTATGAGAAAATAATGATACTTGTGTAGCACCAAAGTATTTTACAGTATGCATAATCAATGTTTTAAAATGAATAGTTATCCTTTTCAAATAAAACTGCCAATTGTGACACAATTTAAGCATGTGCATATGTGTATTTATATATAAGTGTGTATGCATGTGTAGTCAGATAGTGGAAAGTAGATCTGGCTGAAAAATGTTGAGTACCCCTCTAATCATATTTGTGCATATAACACTCACATACATACAGGATAAAGAACAAATAGGAAACATTTATCAATCTAACATGTTTCATTTTTATTAAAGCTTCATCAGAGAATGCGATATAGAGAGAAAAAATTCTTTTTTTTTTCTCCATATATCATTCTCTGATGAGGCTTTAATAAAATAATTAGACTGACAAACATTTTGTACTTGTTCTTTATCTCATCATTTTGTCAGATTCCGAATTCATTATATATATATATATATATATATATATATATGCATAGTATTTAAGAAAAACCAATTATATTGGTGCAACCAACAGACAATTTGCCAAAAGACCTAACAGCCTAAATAAAAAAAAAATCTCAAAGGGAAGAAAAAAGAAAAAAAATGACCTAAAGGAAACACCTATGTACACAGTAAAGAAAAGTGGCCAATGCCTAGATTACCTAGACAGACCAAAAAAACGCTTCACAAAGTTAACTCCTATCAAAGGACAGCTTGAATCGTTACAGCCTGAGTTTCATGCTCATGTGATTTTAAGATGATCAGAACATATCCTAGTCATATGAAGACCATGGGAGCATGAAACTCAAGTAATGACTATATATATATATTCTTCTAAACAAGAAACCATTGTGTGAACGCGAAATTTATGGTTTTAAAAGCCTAAAAACTGCACCAATTATTAAGCAATTATCTGCTTTTGAAAATGAACTATTGGATATCGTCAAGGGATTAACCTTCTATAAATACAAAAATGCCTTTCAAAAAAATCTTGATAGTATCACCAAGGACATTAATAAATCTGCTGATATATATGTTAAATCTGATAAAACGGATAACTTTTATAAGTTATCTCCTAAGGATTATGATACATTAGTTAGGGATAGTCTAAGCAGAAACTAGAAAACAATTGATACAAATAACTTCAACCAAGTAGATAGCATTAACAGTATCAGTAAATCAATTACTGATAAGCTATTGATTAGTGATCGGGTCGGTAAACTACAAACTAAGGAGGCCTATGTCTTGTTAAAAGACCATAAACCCGAATTCAAAACTAAGCCATCTACTAGGCTTATAAACCCTACTAGACCAGAAATCGGTAGAATTAGTAAGACCATATTGGAAAGAACCAACCACTCCATAAAAAACACCCTTGGACTACTACAGTGGGTCAACACAGCTGATGTTATCAAATGGTTTAATAACATCCGATATAAGGGCAACTGTACTTTTATACAGTTCGATATTATCGATTATCCCTCTATTTAAATCTTTTCACGTTGGCCTTGGATTTCACCGGGAATACTCTGATATTTCTGAGAGTGAAATGGACATCATCATGAAATGCCCGAAATTCTGTTCTAATCTACAAGGAAGAACAGTGGACCAAAAAGTCTTGCAACAACAATTTTGACATTTCGATGGGTTCTCTTGATTCTGCGGAAGCTTCTGACCTGGTTGGATTATTTCTTTTGTATAATTTAAGTGCCTTTGATTGTCTAGATTCCAATAGTGTAGGATTGTATAGAGATGATGGGTTATTAGTTGTTAAAAACTCCACTCGACCGTATTAGGAAAATGATACATAGGGTATTTAAGGATTTAGGTCTTAGGACAATAGTCACTACTAATGTTAAACAAGTGGATTTTCGAGACGTCACCCTAAACCTTGCTAGCAACTCTTTCCAACCATATGTGAAGGTTAATTCCAACCCGATATACGTACATCCAAATTCCAACCATCCCCCTTCAGTTATCAAACATATACCTTCTTCCATTGGATTAAGAATTAGCACTAACTCCTCTAACAAGGATGTTTTTAATAAACATAGTGATTTTTACAATTCTGCACTTAAAAATAGTGGATACAAAGATGTCACTATTCAATATAAAAACCCTGTCGATTACAACCATAATAAGAAAAGAAGATCTAGAAAGATCATCTGGTTCACTCCCCCTATCAATATAATGGTTAAATCTAAATTAGGACGTATGTTTCTAAACCTCATCAAGAAACATTTCCTTAACCCGGAAACTAACCCACTTAGTAAAATATTTAATCCTAATACCCTTAAATTAAGCTATAGTTGTGCAGATAACCTAGAGAAAATAATTAAAAAACATAACAACTTAGTCTTTAACAAGTATAGGGACTCAAAAAGCTTGATTACTCAAAAAGTTACTAACAGTGATACTAAGTATAATAACATGAATAATAACTTATGTAATTGTAGGTATCCTAATAATTGTCCACTACTAAATAACTGTGGGATTAATTCTGTAGTCTATCTTAGTACCATTTCAACTATTGAGAATCCAAATATAAAAAAGTTTTACATTGGTAGCACAATGAAAACATTCAAAGAACGCTGGCGGGGGCATTTGCAATCCTTTAATAACAGTGACTATAGGTACATGACTTCATTATCCAAGTACTTTTGGAATCTAAAAGAAAAGAACAAAACACCTATGGTTAAATGGACATTGATTAAGAAAGCCCGAACATGTAACTCCCTATATTCCCCATGTTACCTATGTCTTAACGAAAAATTTGAAATTATTAGATTTAAAAACAAGGCTGATCTCTTAAATCAAAGATATGAATTAATGGTTAATTGTAAACACCGTTATAAATTTAACTTATTATAGGGGTCGTATACTTTAAATGATAGTGATATGTCGCTGCAAGTTAAATAGATTATAACTTTTATTGCCTGATGACCAATCTGACGATATAATTGTGTATTGTATAACTATATAGTGTTATTCATTTTTCTGTATATGTGTGTATATATATATATATATTTGTGTGTAGTTATGTGTGTTTGTATTGTTGATTGTGTATGTTTGTATATTAGTGTATTAATATGTTGCTAGGTTTGTATATATATATATATATGTATGTGTGTATGTATATATATATGCATATAGATGTGTGTAGGTATGTATATATGTGTGTATGTGTGTGTGTGTATATATATA